CGGTGGTCGCCCGGTTGCCACGGCAGAAACAAGGGGGGGCATCTGTGTTTGTCTCTCACATCGGAGTCCAGCTAAGGGGCCAGACGGGCTCCCCGAAGTGTTCACGCCTGGCTTGTAGAGTTCAGGCTGTGGGTCCCTAAATCCTGGAAATACGACTACTAAGTGTCTGATGGCTTTTATTAAAAGTTACAAGAAGGTCCGGCCCTAGTTGGAAGCAATCTTTTTTTAACTAGCTACATAAATCTTTAACGTTTCTAGTGGCCAGCGCAGAGCGGTTCCAGTCACCCGGCATTAGAAGACCTGCTTTCTCGGTGCGCTATCACATTGTTCAAAGTCTGTTGCTGGAAGGACCTCTGCCAGCAGCCCGTGGTTTGCGTGTTTTCCTATTTAATCCACTCACACGGCGGGGCTGGGATGTGGTACAGGCCGGGGTGACTGTGGCTGAGTGTTGGAAAGGAGAGGGCTCTCGTCCTGGAAGGTCTGACTTCCACAGACACACGGGGTGCCCCCGGGGCAGGCGCTCTGCGGGGTGGGTCTGACCTTCAACCCCCCCCCCCACCTCGGTGCAGTTGGAAAGCAGTGTTCCGTCACAGGAAGTTAGGCAGTTTCCTTCACCCTGAACATAAAGGGCAAGAAAAACTTGCCTGGCTTCTGTGTTGGCAGAGGGGGTGAGCGCGCCCAGCTGAGTCTGGGCCTGGCGACCTGCCTGTCACGTGGCCTTGGACAACTAGCACAGGATTTGGGCAGAATGGGACCGACGCATGCCGACGGAGAAAGGAAGTGCCCAGGGGTTGGCGAGGCCCAGGTACTTCTGTACAGAGGGTTCCCTTCGTCGCGTGACCTGCCCCCGCCGCCCAGGCCGCACCCGGCATGCAGCTGACGCTCAAAACGGGTCCTTAGAACAACTGAACGGGGAGCTGCAGCCCACACGCAGGTGCAGGAGCGCGGGGGAAACAGCCTGCGCTTCCAGGTGCGTCTGGGACGGCCGCCGTCCTGGTTGCCCAGAGCTGAGGGCTTTCCCGGGATGTGGGCGTCGGCGCGGGAACTAAAGGACCTCGGCTAAGAGCGTGGGAAGTAACCGGGACAGGCTGTGACGATTGTGTGTGGGAGGTCTCTTCATTCATGCGCTCCCCCAGTGTTACTTTGTTTGTTATGTGCAAAGTTCCATAGATAAAAAGTAAATCGTGATCTCTGGCGGGAAAGGGCACGGATGTAGCCATTCTCCCTGATAAGCTAGTTTCCGAAAACTTTTTAAACATATTGGTGTTTCTGTGACATTATTTTCTCCCAATCTAGCTAAAAGATGGCTTTAACCACCTCAGCATTTTCTGCGTCCTTTCCCTAGTGACACGCCGATGGCCGTCAGCACTGCTGTGAGTGGGCCGTAATCACGGTACGGGGTGCTCCATTTTTCTGGTCAGATGTGACTTCTCTCACACGGTCACATCCACCTGGCACCTGCGGCCGCCTTACTGTCACCTCTGCTTCTTGGGTTTCACTAGCGATGACAGGCCCCCCAACTCCGTGACGTAAGGGCACCTGTGGTTCCTCCCTTCAGACAGGACCCCAGGCTCAGTGGCTGTGTGGGGTGCCCAGGTCACACGGCCACCACAGTGCAGACGTCCCAATGGCCGTACTGACACCTCGGCCGTGACACTGCACACAGTACCGTGCTTGGCTCTGTGCTGGGCGCTGTGCCCAGCATTTTACATCTGTCACCTCAGCCTTGAGGGGCACGGACATGGTGACATGCCGGTGGAACCGGTGACAGGCAGGGAGGCGAGCAGCTGTGGGGTTCAAAGTGAGGTCAGCAGTTGGCAGCACCTGGAGCCACCCAGACCTTTGTCCTCATGGTCATGCGGGGACTTGTGGACACCTGTGTGAGAAGCACCACGGAGTCCTGTGAGGCCCCGCTCCTCCAGGTGGGTCCCCAGCCAGCACCATCAGCCTCCCGGGGACCTGGTGGCCACGCGTGTCCTCCAGCCCCAGCCCAGACCCCTGACCCCTGACCCCGAAGCTCGGGGCAGTCTGCTGGCAACCCCTCCAGGTGGAGGTGACAACCCGAGGCCACACTGTCCTCCCTCCCGGGCTCCCCGGGAAGGGACTCAGCGGCCAGCCCAGCGTGGTCCGTGCTTTCTCCACATGCTGCTTTTGTCCCGTGACATGAAACCGTCATGGTCTTTACTTTAAAACCACAGGGCTGGTTTCGCTCCCTGCCAGCTACTCGTTTCGGGGTCTGTAATTCAGCAAACTCTGCTGTCAGCTGTGCAGACGACACAGGGCACCGGCGTGGCCCCGAGCCCGCTCCTAACAGCTCCGTGTGTGACAGCAGCAGCCACCGTGGGAGTGTCTGCCGTGTGGCAGGCTGGCTGTCCCAGATGCTCGCTCTATGTTCCCACCTCGTAAGAAGGGCGGTGAGCGCCGACCCTAAACTCTGTGCTCCCGACCCCACGGCAGTGCTTCGGAGCTGCCCCAAGGACCCGCTTTGGTCACTCGGGTGCCTGTTTCCAGCATAGCTGCCCAGGGACCCACCAAAGGAAGGCGTGTCTCATGAGGGCCTAGTGTGGGGACAACAGCCCTGCACTGCCGGGCGGGAACGCGGCCCCTCCAGGGCTCACGCTCTGACTCTCCGTGGGCCGCCGTCAGGCCTGATGTGCACACCAGGGATGCCCTGCGGGGCTGGATCAGAGGAGGGCATGGCAGAGGCTGGCGGTCACCCCCATCAGAGAAAGACTTGTCACACGGAGATGCCAGGCCAGGTGGCGTTCTAGGTTCACGTCCCCCACGACTTGCAATCACTGGCTGTGCAGCTCATGCTTGTGTCGGAAGGTTCGGCTTTAAGAGTTGCACGGTGCCTGAGCTAGGAACCTGGAGCCGAGTTCTAGAATGACTGAGCTAAAATAATCTAAAAAAGATAATGTGCTCAAACCAGAATGCTGGCACAACAGTCATCCTTGTGGCAAAATTTTGAAATCATTTTCATACTATTTGGAGCCTACTTCGTCCCTAAACACATGATCTCTGAGTCCTTTCTGACACTTTTTGAGCTGCTGTCACTAAACTTCTCAGCTTTGCTCTTTCCTGGTCTGGAGCTGGCCGCGCAGGCTGCGTTGTGCCCCCTGGTGGCAATAGGGACAGGACGACCAGGAGTGTCTTTCAATCAAAGGGACAGCTCCAACTTAATTGAAATGGGTGGCAGGCCCTGAATTTGAAATGGAATTTCATATAAAACGTTTCTGGTCTTTCTAAAAATAGGAAAGGACCCGTTAAACTAAAGCCAGACGCATTAACTTCAGCCTGCAAAGGTGCATATTTCAATTCCCCTTGCTTTGTCATAAAATGGATTAGCTCCTTGAAATGTGTCAGTTGAACTTGAAATTAAATATTTGCCCTACATACAGCCGAGCAGCCGGACCCAAAGGTAACTAGCGTCTGTTCACGCAGCATCTGCTTCAAGGTCAGGCCTCAGCGCGTCACACGGGCCGGGGGCCATTTTCTCCTTCGGGATAGCTGTTTTCACGTTAACTAACATAGTCCAAATAGTCATCTTCAAGGCAGCTTTGGAAAACAGCTCTAAATTTTGTAGTTTAATTCTGCAGTCAAAACAGCCAAATACAGGTTTTCATGTGGATGATACTGCGGGCCTCTGAATTCGGCTTTTACCTGTTTGGGGGCAAAAAAAGGATACGCGTCTTCAAGAGGACTAGCAAACGGCTAGAACACGCGCTGCTCACTGTGGGGAAAGGCATGGCCGATGAGCAGCGCTGGCTGGGCTGGTACGTGCTCGCAGGAGAGAAAAGTGGCCACTCCTTAAGTAAACACAAGTGACGAGCAGGTGCCCGGTGCTGGGCTCCACAAGGGTCGGAGGAGGCAGGTCACGGGCACCAAGAAACAGCACGTGCAGCGGCCGGGCAGGCGTGTGAAGCACTCCAGTATAATGACACGAGTGAGCGAGTAACAGAAAAGGAAACCTGACCAAGTTTTAAAAGGCGTCACCGCTGTAGACCTAAAAAGCGAATCTTTTTCCGTTAAACATAGAAAGGAGAACCATAAACTAAGGGAAGCAGCGCCAACAGGCGGACGTGGGAGGAGCCGAGGAAACCAGGGTGGTTCAGCGCTGCCTGAGGACAAAGTGCAAGTGACAAGTGGAAGGGCAGGTGCCCAGAGGCCAAAGCCAGGTGGGGAAGGGTCCCAGGCTGTCGGGAGATGAAGATCCAAGTGTCCGGGGGGTTTCGGTAACTAGTGATGACTCGGTGACTCAGAAAGCCCGGTGCATGAGCACAGATGGGTGACGGTGGGAATGGCGGAGGCGCCCATGCACAGGGTTCGGACTCGGGCTGTGAAGGGGCAGCAGCTGAAGGTGGAGGGAGGTCCAGGGGGGCAGCTATTTTTAAAGATGGTTATACTTGTTGTCTAGCCTCATAAAGACTTTTCTATGTATTAAAATTTTATTTTGAAAGAGACCAGGAGTGATAAGGTAGCATTTCGTACGAAACAGGCTTCCTTTGTGATCTAAATTAGTGGAGACACATCACGTTCTTGGGTCTGCAGGTTTAACAGAGACGGCACCATCCCCGCATCGGCCTGCAGACTCCGTGTCATCTGTCGGGGTCCCAGCTGCCTGTCACCCCCCCTCCCCCTTAGCAGCCTCAGCTTCTTCCCTGTATCAGTGGGTCTGTTTCTATTTTGTTCATTCATTTTTGCTTTTTTCAGATTCCACCTGTGAAATCATATGTATTTGTCTCTGACTTATTACACTTAGCATTATATCCTCTAGGTCCATTCATGTTGTCACAAATAAGATTTGGTTCTTTTCTATGGCCAAGTAATATTCTACTGTGTACATGAACTTCTTTACCCATCTGTCCATCAGCGGGCACCCAGGCTGCTTCCACATCTTGCGGCATCTACTGTAAATAATGCTGCAGTGAACACAGGGATGAAGATGTATTTTCAGACTAGTGTTTTGCATTTCTTTGGATAAATACCCAGAAGCAGAATTGCTGGGTCATAAGGTAAGTTGTCTCTTTAATTTTTTGAGGAACCTCATTTCCCCCAGCAGTTGCACCTATTTACAACCCCACCAACAGTGCCCAAGGGTTCCCTTTTCTCCACATCCTCGCCAGCACTTGTTTGATTTATTGATGATGGCCATTTGGACAGATATACCTCACTGTGGTTTATTTGCATTTCCCTGATTAGTGACATTGAGCATCTTTTCATGTGTGTGTTGCCCCATCTGTGTGTCCTCTTCGGAGACACGTCTGTTCAGGTCCTATGCCCATTTTTTAATTGGATTATTTTTTGGTGTTGACGTCTCAGAGTTGCTATATTAACCCCTTATGAGAGGTATCATTAGCGAGTACGCTTCCATTCACTAGGCTGTTTTTCGTTTTGGTTTCCTTTACCGTGCAGAAACTTTTGTTTGATGTAGTCCCATTTATTTTTTGGCTCTTGCCCAAGTAGACACAGCCAAAAAGGTGGCGCTAAGAGTGTTGTCCAAGTTCACTGCTTATGTTTTCTTCTAAGAGTGTTATGGTTTCAGGTCTAACATTTAAGCCTTTAATCCACTTTGGGTTTATTCTTGTATGTGGAGTAAGAAAGTGGTCCAGTTTTCCCAGTACCACTTACCGAAGAGGCTGTCTTGACCCCACTGTATATATGTAGCCTCTCCTTCGCCGTAGATGAATTGACCGTGTAAGTGAGGGGCTATTTCTGGGCACACTATTTTGTTCCATTTATCTGTGTGTCTGTTTTTATGCTAGTACCATATTTTGATTATTCTAGTATAGCTTTGTTTTCAAGGAACATACTTTGTTCTTAAAATTTCTTTGGCTATTTGGGGTCTTTTGTGGTTCTGTATAAATTTTAGGATTAGTTCTGAGAAAAATGCCATTGGTATGCAAAAAAGGATTGCATTGAATCTGTATATTATGTCAGGTATAAGGGCATTTTAACACTATTCATCCTTCCTATCCATGAGCAACGTATATCCTTCCATTGTCTGTCTTCAGTTCCTTCACTGCCTTAGCTTTGTGAGTACAGGTCTTTTACCTCCTTGGTTCAATTTGTTCCTATATATTTGATGTTTTGATGCAAATGTAAAAGGGACTGTTTTTTTTAATTTCGCCTTCTGATCATTACTGGTGCATAGAAACAACCGATCTTTGTGCCACTGCTTACAAAAAGGGGCGGGGCAGTCAGGACAGCCACACAGCTTTGTAAGTTAGCAAGATCTCCAGGAAACGCACTGCCTTACAAAATCACAACTCGGGGTACAGAAAAGTGACCGAGCATACATTACTTGGTACTGCTGCTACTCCCACTAGCTTCTACTTTGTGTCCGTTCCTAACAAAATTAACACGTGGAGAGCTATTTACAAAAGACACGTCCTCACGCTCCTCAGGTGGGCAGCCTGAGCATCCTCTTCCTCAGCTCGGCTGTCTTCCGTTCCAGCTCAGCACTGCCCTCCTCCATCGCCTTCTCAATGCCCTCGTGGTATTTCTCCAAAGCGCCTTTCAAGTTCAGAAATATCTCCTAAGTGGAAAATGAAACAGAGTAAGAACTACCCCATGCAGCCACCAAAACTAAACTGAGTGATGAGAATCCCAGCAGCCTCATTCAGGGTCAGTCGTGTTTTGAAGCCTAGACTGTGTGTGTGTGTGTGTGTGTGTGTGTGTGTGTTTGCGCGCGTGTCTCTGTGTGTGTGCGCACGCGCGTGCGTGCGTGTGCGCGCGCGTGTGCACACGTGTGCATGTGCGTGTGTGTATATGTGTGTGCGTGCATGTGTGTGTGTGTACACCCACACAGGTGGGTGCCCACTCTTATTACAACTCATCCTGGAAGCTATCCACACACCAAAACCTGCTCCTTAGAAAGAGGAAACAGGGACATGTAACAGTGGCTTGGGTTCCAAGACTGAAGAACATACTTGTAATTAGCAAGGAAATTTTTCACTTTGGTGCTTTCCATGGTGCCTAGATGACAGAAAACAGGTAAAACTGCGTTTGGCCCCAATCGTCATTTAAAAGACACGTAAACAGATGCAAAAAGTGACCTGGTGGACTGGAGGGTGAGCTAATGCCTCTTAGAGTCGCCTTTGTCAGCTAAGCAGGCGGCTCTATGAACGATGACTTTCCATAGAAACCGATATGGGCGCGCTAAGAACTAGGAGTAAAAACGGAAGCAGCCCAGGTCTGAGACTGTGTCCATTCTCTCCTCATTTCACTCACCTGGGACTTCAGCTTCTCCCTCTCAGTGGTGTCTTTCAGTTGCTGAATTGCAAATTTAACTTTCTGGATGTCTTGATTAATTGTGGTTATTCGTTCGTAGACAGCACCTCTTTTTTCTTGAACTTTATCACAGTCTCTAAAGAGAAACAGAGACAGCCAAGTTATAATTCCTCTGAAGTATCTAAAAGGGCAACATTTATTAATAACTCTAATTTTGAGTCCAGAGTGATTATGCGTATTTGTCTGACAAACCTAACACTCCTGTCAGGAGACAGATGCAAACAGATGAAGACCCCAGCGAGGGGCTCTGCTCACATCAAGCGTCCAGTGGGCGCTTTGGCCCCAGAGTGACCATTGAAATGGGCTGGAGTGACAGTGCCGGGAATGCACGCTCGGGCGCCATCGCGGCCTGTGGACCAGAGCGACTTTCCTGCAGAGCCATTTGGCCGCTAATCTGACCTCTGGTTCTGCCCTTTGGCTCCGTCTGCGGGAGGAAGAGCAGAGGAAATCTTCAGACGGCCCTGAGCGCCTCTGAGAGGCTGAAATGGTCACATCTGAGGCATATCTGGGGCATCTGCGATCCTAGAATCACACTCTTGGAACTGATGGGGCAAGGACTCTACCGAGGACACGCCGCCATTCTGGCTGACGAGAGACACTCGGCAAAGTGTCGGTTCTTCGCTGAGCACAAAAGGCGACTCCTTCTCAGGACACGGACCTGAATGGACTACCAGGCAGCTCGCTCCCGCGACCTCAGCACTTGTCTCTAACGTGCACTGAAGTGGCAGCGAGCAGAGCCTCTGCGGGGCTCCCCGTGGGACGGCCTGGGCCCTCTAGGGCGGGCAGACTGGCACCTGGGCGGCCAAGGTCTAGGCGCAGCTCTGTAAGACCCACGGCCGCCTCAATGCGCACGCCTCTCTGACCTTGGGGGAAATGCTTTGCTTTCCCGTTTCCCAGGAGAGTGAACGGAAGGGCAGGCCGTACTCGAGCACGGTGCGTTTGTACTGCTTGGCGTCCTCGTGTTTCTTGTTCATTCTGAACTGAGCCGTGGCAAGTCGGTCCTTCTTCACGTTCGTCAGTCGTCTCATGGAATGTTCTTCTGCCTTGAGCTTCTTCAGCTCTGACTCGCCGCTCTCAATCTGGTCCTCCAGGCTCAGGCTCTGGAGTTTGAGAAGTACGTTAAGTCAACACAAGATGAACGACTGTTTTCTAGAATGAGCCACAATAAAATACAATTTTAAAATAAGATAAACTATTAAAGCCTGAACCCAGCAGAAGAACGCAGACTGAACAGAGGCGACAGGATGGCCTTGGACAGAGAAAGGATGACACCCGCACAGGGGCTCTCATCACGTCATTTTATCAGCAAGGCCTGGAGCCGACGGTGTGAGGACATCAGCCAGGAGCCTGAGGGGAGAGCGGGGGTCTGGGCTGAGCAGCAGGAACAGAGAAAGGGGCGCAGTGACAAGCGGGGGTCTCCGTCTCGTCTGGCCGAGCTGATGGCAGGTAAGGGGCGTGGAGCTGGACAATGTCCCCTTTTAACCCCCACTGTCCTCAGAAGGGAAACTTTTCTCAAACGCAGCATTAGTGAACCTGGGGTCAGGGGGATCAAGTTAAGAAGTGAGAGGGATGCTCAGGTTTCTAGCCTGAGAACAAACAAGGCTGGCTGTCGCTCTCCCGCTTTCGACAGGACAGTCACAAACTGGAATGTCTTTGGGTCCCAGGTCCAGTGCTGGGCAGTCAGTGGGGCTCATGCTTGGCGATTAGGGGAACATTTCCAACTGTCAGGACACAGAGCAAGTTTAAAATGCCATCACTTTCTTCCAAAATATACTGGGAAATGTGCCATGTTAACTTATCATTCATTTCATCTGAGGGTGAGAATGGGTCTTCTCACTAAGTTTACTTGTAAAAGGAGTGTTTATTTCTCAGCATACACTTCACATCTGTTACACTGCAGAACAATGCTGCTTTTCTTCAGGAAACAGTGACAGAAAGTAGAGCAAACCCAAGGAACTCGAGTCCCCCACTCCCCACTAGAGACGTACCACCCCTGTACACACCTCCTTTAGGATGCTGGCCAGCTTATCCCTGTTGTCGGCGAGGTCCTGGATTTTCTTCTGATACAACTGCACTTCCAGCTGACAGGACGGCAGGCCCTCCACCGAGTCTCGGTATAGTTCATACTTTTCCATCACTTCTTGCTTTGAAGGGAAAAACCAAAGAACCCAGTTTGACATTCTGGATGGCGCAGCCGTGGGGTCGCTCGCTGTTTGCACTTCGCTAGTTTCTGGCCCTCAGACTGAATGCTTAGACGCCGAGAACGATTCCCTTTCCAGGTCACGACAAAGCCCTATCACTGACATGTGTGTAGCCCATATAATCATGCTCCTTCGTTGCCAAAGAAGCTTGAACAGGGGAAAAATGCCACAATTTTACTAAATCATTCACTGAAGTACTTTCCGAAGGTTATTATTCCTGATGATTTTGAAAAGACTTCATTTCTGCAGATATAAACCACTCCGATGACCCTGGGCAACATGTGACCAGTTACAATCTGAGTCGTTTGTGTAATACCGAGCACTGCAGCTACTTTTGAAAGACGAATTCCTCTTCTAAAACTAGAAAACGAAGTTTAGCACAACCGCTGGGACAACCAAGGCTTTTACCACTACCCCTCCTATTTTCGCATCCCCTCAGTCCACTCCCCTCCCGCATCACACTCTGTTGCGAGAACATTCCTTCCACCCACGACCTCAGAGAGTTTCCATGTGCTGTCCGCCCTGCCGCACACGCCCTCCGAGGACACACCTACCCCGACGGCCTCTGTTCAGCCTGCTGGCACCTGCGTCCACATCCACCTGATTCCCACACACCGCACCAGGCGCCTGCGGGCCATCATTCTAAGTGCCCGGCACTGTTTTTTATTTCTCCTTTCAGTGCTTTTTAAAAACCAGCCTTTATTAGAGCGGTTTTATGTTCACAGCAAAACTGAACAGAAGGCACAGATACACTTCCTGTCCCCAGCATAGCGCTTGTACTTTTTCAGAATACATACTTAAATGTGTAATTACATAATTTTGTCTAAAACCGTTTCACACCTTTCTCCCTTTGATAAAGGCCCTAAGTCTCAGAGGACAGGCATGTCCACTCTCATCACCCAGGGCCGCGCCTCGGGGCTGGGCTGGGGGTCTGAACAGGAGTCTTTGGATTCTGCCTCTTTCCCTGCACCCACTTTCGGGAAGAGCCACACGTTAGAGACGAGGGCGGAACGCTCTAGGGGGAGAGAAGCGCAGGTAACGTGAGATCAGGAAATCCACACATGACTGCACAGGACGAGCTACACACACAGAAAAGCCCCGACACAGACAGAAACTCACTCTGGAGTTCTTAAGCTTCTGGACTGTATCTTTCATTTTTTCTTTGTAATTCTTTAGCTTCTCTGGAGAATCCACAATTTTCGTTTTCAAACTCTCCTGTGCTTCTTTCAGAAAAACCACTGACAATTTTAGTTCATTCTGTTGAGAAAACATTTTTATATATTAGATATAAAAATAAAATTGATTTTCATTACAATAATGGAAAAGAACAAAGAAATTGGGTCCATGTTTGCAGTGCTGGGGGTAAAACTGAATGATGACCACATCCCTTGATGGCCCATTGGTCTCCAGGCCGAAGGTTAAGCTCCTCAGACCGACGCTCAAGGTCGTCCCTTAGGTCGCACTCCGCTCCTTTCCAGCGTCCCCTCCACCAGGTCCTCCTGCACCTTACAATCCAGGAACACTCGTCTTGTGTTTGGAGAATGACACGTGACCTCCACACTGCCCTCCGCAGCGGCTGCACCATCTGCAGTCCCACCAGCAGTGCATGAGGGCGCCCCTTCCTCCACAGCCTCGCCAGCACTTGTGATTTGTCTTGGTGATGTCAGCCATCCTGACAGGTGTGAGGTGGTATCTCATTGGGTTTTGATTTGCATTTCCCTCACAGCTAGTGGAGCATCTTTTCATACGTATCTGTTTGGCTGTTTGTATGTCTTCTTGGGAGAAGTGTCCGTTCAGGTCCTCTGCCCATTTTTTAATGGGGTTGTTTGGGTTTTTGGTTGTTGAGTTGTACGAGTTCTTTATATATTTTGGATATTAGTCCCTAATCAGAGGTATCATTTGCAAATATCTTCTCCCATTCGGTTAGTTGCCTCTTTGTTTTGTTGATGGTTTTTTTTGCCGTGCAGAAATTTTTTAGTTTGATATAGTCCCATTCATTTATTTTAGCTTTTACTTCCCTTGCCTTTGAGGTCAAATTCACAAAATCCTCTTTGAACCCGAGGTCCATAAGTTGAGTAGCTATGCTTTCTTCTATGCAGTTTATTGTTTCAGGTCTTATGTTTAGGTCTTTGATCCATTTTGGGTTAATTTTGGTATATGGTGACGGATAGCAGTATACTTCTGTTTCAATATATATTTTTTGCAACAATAGTCATCTAATACATTTAGATTGAAAAACGTTAGTTTCCTTTTAAGGGAAAAAAGGTACAGGAGAAACATTTGACTACACTTAACAGTTAATAATGTTCCTCCACACAAATATTGAAACCTTAAATGCCAGTTAAATGAAAAGATACTTACCAAATGCTTGGTTTTCTCTAAAATATCAGCCTTCTTTTGAGCATTTTTGTCTTGTAGCAATACCTAAAGAAAAAACCAAACAAGTGTTTTATAATGATTCAAAACAGATTTAAATTTAGCCACTGAATACCTTCTCATAAAAGGAGATAAGGAAAGGAGCTGAACCTGCTCACACGGCCCAGGCCAGACAAAGATCTAGCAGTTCCTGCATTAAGCAGCGGAACCCGTAAGGGCCTGAGCATGCGAGTCCTGACACCACGACCTGCTTTCCTTCTCCTTCCGCACCTGGGCCTGTGCGCCTGCTGGGTGCTGGGCAAACGCGCACCTTGGGATCAGATGGACAAGACATTCGGATTCCTGTTCCACGAGGACGTCACGTCCTACTTGCTTTTGAGCCCAGCAAATGCCAAACCCCAGGTTCACAAAGGAAGGTGGCAAGTTCCCTCAAGCAGCGTGTGACAGGCAGACACACCAGACAGCGGCTTTCCCTTGAAAACTGAAAACACCCAGGAGCACACTTGAGGGTTTGCCGCAGAGCCCAGGGCGCCCGGTGTACGGTGGGAACAGCAGGGTTAAAATTAGGCCAATCCTACCAAGTTCTAGTCCACGGGGCTCTGACAACACAGGCAGAGATCGCGGTCTGACGTGGGTGACGGAGGCACGTGCCCCTCGTAAGGGGCAAGAGTGGGCCCCGCGACATGTCCCGCTTGCTCACTTGTTGAACATACGTGCTCCTGCCCCCTCTGCAGCTACACTTTCCTCAATGTCAAGGTGTGTAATAACAAATACCGTTTTTTGGCGAAAGTCTTGATTCAGCAATTGCTGCAGCTCCTGGATTTCGTCTGAAAGCTGCTTGAACTCGGCCTGCTCTTCCGCTGGAACAGAACTGAACAGAGCACCGGGTTACCCCACTGCAAGGCCCAGCTCGGAAGGGCCGTGCAAGTCTGCCCTCGAATACCCTGAACAAAAACCCACCCTTTCACGTTTCTCAACTGTCACCCGTCCACGACGGCGACTTCACCCCGACTCCCGGCCTCGACTCCAGACAAACCCGAGACGGGCCCTGGGGTTTCCTGCCACCCTGGCTGGTAGGGACTCCCAGCACCCACCCCCAGCACAACGCGGGACAGCCCTCCAGGTCGGCCTCAGCGCGGTCCCCGCACCCCTTGCCCCGTGCATCTGCGCCCCTGTGCGCCTGCCCCCCCTCCCCCCGCCGTGCGTCTGTTCCACCCGTGCGTGTCCCCCAGGCGTCTGCGCCCGTCCTTCCCAACATCACCGCGCATGCTCAGAACCATCCACAGGAAGGTTCTCAGCGCTAGGTGTGAAGTGGTCTAGGGCTGTTGTTCTCATTCTCAGCTCCCTGCCTGCCTGCGACGTCAACCATCTTCAGCGCTGTTAATTAGCTCTTCGCGTTTATTCACATGCCTCCCACCTCTAACCTCTGCCCATTTTCTGTTTCCCTTGTTGCTACCAGTTTGCAGCTCTTTGTGAGGAACATGACACAGGCTGTTACTAGAGTAACGCTGGGCCACAGCCTGCACGTGCTCCCTATCGTTTCATGTGGTTAATGCTAAATGTACCACGTTAGACTTTACTATCTGCCGCCTATGCCCATTCTTGTCAGCGTACTGCTTGCTGTAGGCAATTTACATGGCGGCAGGACAGAACGCTCTCGCTGAAACAGACACGCTCAAAGGCATCAATACACTGGAACAACACCTTGTTCCCAACCAGTATATGTAGGGAAGGAGACACGCATGCCTCCTGAGTGATTCTTTTACCTATCTGACCTGAGTCAAAACAAAACAAACCTGGTAAAAAGAGTGAAAACTGTACAGAATTTGCTCATCCGGGGCTTAAACATCAGATAAACATTTCATGTGCAACTCAGGGGATTAGTCAGTGGCTTTGAGCATGTCTGGCTAACAGACTCACAGCGAGCCGGGAGTGCACGAACGTGTTATGGACTGAGAGTTAGAAAAACGAAAACGAGAAGATGAGCGCGCACAGTGCAGTTCAGTGAGAGCCCGGAGCAGCTTCTAGGCCGCAGAGACGGAAAGCACCGCGCCCTCAGCCCCGCGCGCGTGAGGCTGACTGGTGTTCTGGGCAAATCTACTCACTCGAGTCTCTCCAGTTTCATCAGTGCCTCCTGGTGTGCGGCGTTTAACTGCTGCATTTTGTCCATTGAAGATTTCTAGTAAACAAATTTTAGTAACTCCAGATTAGCACTTTCAACACAATTAGTGACATGTTCGAAAAACGACCTATCAATGGACTGCAAAACGCTTGCTCCCTACAACTGTCACCATCAGAAATAAATGTAAGATAGAATCAGCTCTGTTCTCGTCAGACATATGGCGTTGGGCTGTTACCACAGTCAGGCGCCGTGCAAGGTGCCAGCATGACACCAGAACAAGTCACAGGTCCCGGACTAAGCAGCTCGGTCTCCTTGAAGAGTCAGAGACAGGAATACACAGCTACCGCACAGCCGGTCACAGTGCTGGGATCCCCGAGCCCACGTGGGTGATGGCTTCGCAGGAATGGAAGAAGATGCCTGAGCTGTGAGGAGAAACTAGCCGAGCCAGGCTGTGTGTGCGCATGCACGTGCATGTGCATGAGCGTGGGCATATCCGTGTGTAGGATTTGGAGAGTGTGTGAGGTTAGGAGTTATGAGCTTAGCATGCTCTGGGCCAGTATTGACCTACACAGCTCAGTGTGGTTGGAGCGGAAGTTCTGATTGTCTGGCTTCACTCTGGTGTTTTTCTAAGAGTATGTACCCCAAAATCAAGGACAGATGGGAATAAATCAAAGGTGACCCAGAATCTTTCCAAATGCTCTAACCTGTTGATGAAATGAGTTTATCGGTTAAAGCAATTTACTTGGACTGACTCTTAATGCAATGCTGGGCAAGCATGATAAACAAGACACAATATCCAGTTAGGCCATTACTGAGAAAGCAAAATAAATCTCACGCCTCAATTATTTAAAGAACACTCCACTATGAAATATCAAAGAAAAAAATGTGAATTTATCACTATGCTCTTCCATGTCTTAATATAGGAAAAGCAGCCTCAGCTACAAGCTTAAAACAGCAACCCCTCCTCTCCCTAATGTCACCAAATAGAGAAAACCTCATTCTGAGCTTGCTTTCCAGTAACTAAAATCTGCAACTTGATGTAAATATAAAAGTTTGATTCTACAACAATTAGTTCTCTGCGACCACCACTTCAAAAGAGATGAGTAGTTCATCAGCGGTGTTGCTGGCCCGGCACTCATGCGTGACCCACACGTCAGCCTTACGTATTGCCACACGAACTCCATGTACGTCTCACGGCACGCTTCCCGGAAGTGGATGAAGTTGATGATGCCACTCAAAAACCGACTGGTCCGTTTGGCTTCTAAAACAGAAAGCAAGGCTCCTTCAATACACCTTTGAAACACTACAGTAATGAGAACTCACCCTCTCTCCACAGACTCTGCCGATAGGCTGTCGAATAAAGCTGTGTATGCTATAATGAACCGAAGTGCAGACAATTTGTTATAACTTAAAGATCAAGATTATCTTCGCATTCATAACTTTAAAGAAAAGAAGCAGACCACTTTGCCAAGGAAAAGTAATGGGAAGCAGATTTACTCTCCCATCATAAACAACTAGGAAACCAGACAGAACCTATGAGGCAACAAGTTTTAGACACTGCACAGCAGGCAATCTAGGACAGCAATCCCCAAGAGAACCAAACGAGCTGCATGAACCCTATCAATGCAGCAGTGACGCTGCCTGGAGTTTGCAGGATGTACCGGGGAGGGGCAGGGGAGGGGAAGGGCACAGATAGAACTCACGGGTGTCACCGAGTCGCAAAGATAGAGTTCAGAGTTTGGAGAGACCAAAACAATTAGAATTTAAATTGGCCTCTCCAAACTAAACTCCATCTTCCTGACACGGCCTTTATAAATATAATCTGTAAACATATTCCATTTGTTCAAGAAGGTAAAGAAAAATATCAGCAGTGTAAGGAGGAAAAGGGGGAAAAATTTTAAAGACCCAAATAAACTTTTACAATTTAAAAATAAAATATCTGAAATGAAAAATACATCAGATGGGATTAACAGCAGATCAGACCTAGAGATGAAAGGACTGGTGAACCTGAGGACAGCAGCCAAAGCAGACAGAGTGCCTACGAGCTGAGGACACCAAGCAGCAAAACAAATGCCCACACAGAGGAGTGGTGGAAACGCTCATAAAATAGCCAAGTGTTTTCCAATTTTGATAGAAACTATAAACATAACCAAGGAATTGAGCAAATCTACGGACACGGACAAACAAATCCTCAAAAGGCACACTGTCAGGAAATTGCTGAAAACTTGGGAGAGGCTTCAAAGCAGCCCAACAGGAGAACCAAGCAAGAACTAGGCGAGTAAGCAAGTGGTCTGATCACTAACTTTCATGTAGGAGCAGCTGATGCCTCAAACCTACAAGATAGAGGGAATTGGAGCTGAGAACCCTACAAGACATGGGACTTTAGAAAGGCCACATACCTCCTTCGTGAACAGGTAGATTAGTAAGACAAAAAAAAAAATCTCTTACCAATGCAGTGAAATGACAAAGTTACTGGTATCCCTTAGCCTTGTCACTGGTGAAAAAATATTCTCCTCTGAGAATGCTAAGCCTTGGGCTTAGATATGGGTTTTAGTTTAAATTACATTATAAATACAATCCAAGAACTATTAAATTCAGGAATTAACATAAAAAGTTGTCTTTAGCCAACAATAACCCTGGAATAACTGCCAAAAGCAAAATGTATCTCAGGAGGGATATGGCCTTGACTCCAAAAGTAAGAGAACACAGAACTACCCTGCTGAAGATGAGCTTACATTTCTAATCTAAAACGCTTGTGGGCACAGGTGCACGCACGAGAATCATGTGGCTTCTCTTTCTTAGTCTAATGCATTACACTGTTTGATTTGTGAATGTTAAACTAAACATCGTGACAGGTTTGGAAGCTGCTTACCCCGGTAACGGCCATCTGAGAAAACCCTACAACGAGCACTGGACTTGATAAAAGGCTGAATGCCTTCCCCTAAGTAATGCGCCTGCTCTCACCATTCAGTCCAACATGATGCTAGAAGTCTTAGCCACTGCAGAAGGCAAGAAAAAGAAAGAAAATATAGCTAGACGGGAAAAGTAGTAAAGCTGTCTTTGTTTACTGTCCCCATAGTCTTGTCTTTCCCAGAATGTCGTATAGTTTTAAGACTGGCTTCTTACACTTAGCAGTGTGCACTTAAGGTTCCTCCATGTCTTTTCAGAGCTTAATAGCTTATTTCTTTCTAGCACTGAATAATATTCCATCGTCTGGATGGACTAGTTTCTGTATCCACTCACCACTGAAGCACATCGTGGTTGCTTCGAAGGTTCAGCAATTATGAGTGAGGCTGCCGTAAAAACACGAGTGTGCAGGTGTCTGTGTGGACATAAGCTTTCAGCTCATTTGTGTAAATATCATGGAGGGTGACTGATGGGGGCTAAGTGAGAGTATATTTAGATTGTAAGACACTGACAATCTGCCTTCCAAAGTGGCTGCGTCCCACCAACAATGGATGAGGCTGCCGTCGCCCCATGCCTTCGCCAGCACTGCTGTTATCAGCGTTTTGGGTTTTGCCATTTTAACAGGAGCCTGGTGGTTGGTAAACTGATTTTTCACAAAAAGTGCCAAGGTCTTTTCAACAACGAGTGCTGGAATAATTTGGAAACCACACGCAAAAAGAAAAAAAACCTTGACTTTTCTCTCATGTCATGTATAAAAACTTCAGCATTAAACAATAAAAGCTAAACCTATACTATGGTTGAAGTAAAATATAGGAGTAACTCATAGCAACTTTGAGGCCAAGATTTCTTAATAGGACACAAGAAATGATTTTATGAATTACAAAATTAAAAAATTGATCAAGTACAATCTCCAACACTGGGACACATTTTGCTCTTCAAAGGACAGTTCCGAGACTGAAAAGGCGAGTAACAGACGGGGAGAAGAACCCACATGCCAGGTGATAAACACTGGTTTCCAAAATATCTCACTAATAAGACACGCACTTCAAGTAAAAACCAGGCCAATGGTTCAGACCCGTCACCAGAGAAGGTATGTGGACAGCAGAAAAGCGTATGGAAACACACTCGTGGTCGGTAGGCCTCAGGCAAATGCAAATGAAACCACGAGCCACAGCACACAGCCGGGGCGCCTGAAATCCACCCCCCAGCTCCATTCCAGGGTGGGTGCGGGCGACAGGCGGGCCCCACGCTGCTAGCGCAGGGCAGCCACTGGGCACAGGCCTTGGGCCATTTCCTGCAGAGGTCGGCGTGCTCACCCCACAACCCGGCAGTCACCCCGGGGAATGGAAACCCATATCCACAGGCATCTGTACACTCCGGCTCACAGCGGTTTTGTGCACAATGGCCAAAACCCGGAAACAATTCAGATGTCTCCCACTGACATCGCAGGGACAAGCAAACTGGTCCGTCCGTATAAGAGAATGCCACTCGGGGTAACAGAAACGAAGTGCTCAGCAGCACTGACTAACGCAGAACGTGGGTGAGTCACAAAAGCATTGTGCTGAGTTCAAGGAGCCAGACACGAGACTCCAGGCTAGAGGGTTTCACGTACATGAAATTCTAGAAGAATCAGAACATGGTAGTGATAGAAAGCAGGGCGGTGGTTGCAGGAACAGGGTGGCCCAAGGAAGCCGAGTGCAAGGGCCCTGAGGAACTCGGGGGTCGTGGAAATGGTCTACACGCGATCGTGGCTGCAGCTGTATACAACTACATGCATTGTTAGGACTCCCCAAAGACGGTTCTAGAGCTCCACTTACTTGGGTACAGAATATCGGCGGTCTCAAAGTCGTTCACCCGGCAGATGGGCAGGAATGAGTTCCTGCAGATGAAGGAGAAAGAACGCTGAACAAGTACTGACATCATACACCAAGAAACGGGATATGAGCGTTTTCTTTTCAAAGACTTTCCTGGACGTATTTCTCAATGTCAAGGGCCAGGCCAGAAGTCGGCTACAATGCCCGACCCCACAGCAATGAAGTCGGCTTTTTCGGGACCACACACGTGCTCAGGCGATACCAAGGTTCAGTTATAGATTCTAGTAAACAGCGCACACTGCTGGAGGTACTAGACTCCTAGAGAATGCAAAACCCCCAAGTTTAGATTTGCAGCACCATAAAACTTCAGTGAAACGCCCCAGGTGGGGCAGTCGGTTATGTTTGCTGAAAGTCTGCAGTTCCGAATGTGTATGGGATGGAGTGGGAAGGAAGGAAGATGGCAGAATCCCTTCCCCAAGGGACCATGTCGTTAAGAAATCTGAACGTAGTGCAGGTAAGAATCAGACTGAGAAAACCAACGCATCTACTCACAGATGGATGAACAAGTTGCTGACCGGTAAGAAGCCTTCCATTAAATGAGGGTACATGACGTCAGAGTTCACTGGCATCTAAATGGAATAAATGACAAGATCGAAATTACACATTAACTAGTCAAAATTAGAAAAATCTTCAATTTTAAGAAACTTCAATCATAGAATAAGATCAAACTGTATTAACTCATGATCATTACAGTAAAAATACTTAAACCATCCTGAGCCTGGTACGAGACTAGAGTTGCCGTTACTGTGAATGACGCTGGGTCCACAGTGGGCGCTCAGCCAAGGTCCCTTACATGAAGGAAGCCGTGCGGGGCGGCGGTCACCAGGTGCGAGCCACTCGGCATCTCACATCTGCTCTCAAGTCCGAACAACCAGGGCAGAGTGAGTGCTCGCCTTGTAACACAGACAAGGAGCGGAGCCTTAGCACGCTTTCCTGGGAACAGTGGCACAGCCTGTGATTACACGGTATGTGGTGACACCGCTGAGACCCAAGCCCTTCTGCCAGGGTGTCCACACAACACTTCTGAGTCAAGAACAGCAACAGCTGAAGAGAAAGGTCTTCCTGCCGGAAAAACCTGACCCGCTATCAGCTGAGTGCCCTGCTCAGGGTGTCCAGCCTCGGCATGGCTTCTGCCCTGAGTGGGAATCCCCCCCAGGAACAGCATCTGTGAACATCGCCTGTACACGCGTGAAAACCTGCATAGTGTCAATGCTTGTGCCATTTGGGTCTTTTACAGCAGCTCTTGTCTTACGAAAACTCTCAGCAGAAGCCATCGTGATGCCCAGGGTGCCTTAGTTTTGTACAGGCCTCTGACTTTGTAACAATGAAGGACTTCCTGGCAGGAAGCTGAGTGCGGGGCGGGGCGGGGACGCAGACACACCATGTAGAAGTGCTCCAGGCGGGTCCCGTACACCATCTGCAGGGCTCTCATGTAGATCACGTGCAGGACTTCAGGCTGCAAGAGAAGAGCACGGTGACAGCGGCGCTACTCCAGGGCTGTCACTGTCACTGCCCAATCTCATAATCGACGCGCAAAGAGGAGTGACAAAGTCACGCTGCTGTTTCCCTTGAAAGTTCCCTAATTTTTCCGAATCTTACGCACCTTATATCTCACCAGTTTGCTCTCAGATCACTAGTGATCATTAGGATGGGCTGTTGAAGCCCACGTGGGGTCAGGGCGACGATACCCACGTCAGTCCAAGGCCCGCCCACGCCAGGCCGGGCAGGGACAGGTTGTTGTGTGTGACAGAACAGTGGCACACTGGGGTGCTTTTCTTTTAAAAAGAGGACCATGGAGACGCTGTTTGATGCCTTAGAGCTTACAGTCTCCTTAGGTGTTAAACGGAGCACTGAGAGTGGGGGTACATTTAATATGTAGTGTGGGGCCTGAAACTGTGTGTCTGTAGATCTGCCTTGCCCAAATGCCGGCCTGGAGAACCTGGTCTGATCCGTGTACAGGTTCGTTTATTCGAGACATTCCTTCCACTTTACAGAAGGACATCGAAGCTGAGGAGACAAGCTCTGCGTCCCTGAGCCCAACTTCCTCGTGTCATCATGTCAAGACCAACCCAGAACCGGCAAGGAGACCGCGCACTCATTCCGTGCAGCTCCTAAGTAGCTCATCTTCACATTTAATTAACAACTCCAGATCCAAAGAAGAATGTCTGTCAGAACAAGCCAATTCCCGCTCTGGGCAAAGAGCTAGGAGACTACCCTGGGGCTTCCAAGGGACCGGTCCTGGGCGCTCGCTCTCTGGGTTGGAACCACGTGGGGTCACTCCGTCAGCCCCACCTGTGAATGGTGCCCTCGGACTGCCACTCGGATGCTAACCAATAACTTAATACATTTGGATATGGCTCAGCTTAGAAGCTGTTTTTGAAGAAAGCAGCCACGTTCAAGAACTGGACTCCTAACGGAAGGTAGATCTCTCGCCACCTTTGAGTCTGAAATTACACCAGGCGAGTTTGTCTTGGGACTAACACGACCGGCTGCAGCGAACAGCTGGGTGTCTGCCCTTCTCCACACACCAGAGACCCAGCAGTTTCCTTTGTTTTCAAACACAACCATCCACACGCAAACACAACACGTCTTACCTTTGGATTAGGATACAGATCATTCTTGGAGAGGTTTTTCCCATCAGCCCCTGTTAAGATTTTGTTGCGAATGTGAGTCACAATCTCAGCTACATTATATCTGGGGAAAGACAGAGTTTCCATCTTGGGCGTCTCGGGCAAGTCTGAAGGAAGAAGACAAAGGTCAGCACAGCCGGCGTCAGTCCCTGAAAGCCGCTACACACGGGGCGTTAGCAAGCCAGGGGCGCAGCGGTCACAGCGCTGTTAGCTACCATCAGACATCCTAGTAAGTGACACAGATTTTATTGGGTTGTTGGAAAAGTCATGACATATTTTTTCTGTTTTTCGTTGCAAAAAGGCATCATGACTTTTCTGACAACCCAATATATATATATACTCAGAACTCAGGTGCGACACTGAGCCCCCAGCAAGCGCAGACCTTTCCACGTGCCCCTCCCTCAGGCTGTCCCAGCCGAATGGCATCAGAAACAGGAGCAGGAGCATCAGCAGAGGCCACTGCCTCGGCCACTCAACTGACAAACAAGACCTGTCCTGACACCTACGAGCCCCCACCCCCCAGGAAAGCAGCAGGATCCCAGAGGCCAGCGTGACACACGCAGCTCTGCAGACAAATGACTCTCAATGCTGGAAAGCTGTCGCTTTAGGCTCCTAGTGTCTTGGTGTATTAGGACTGAAAACCACCTCTGATAAACGTAGGACGCCGTTCTGAAAGATGACTGACAAGTGACTTCCTAGTGCTGCCTGAACAGCTGCGAACATCACAGAATTCACCACCTCTCAAGACAGCGTTTCTCTGCCCGCGTGTGGCTCTGATAATTCGGACACTCTTCCTACCGCCGTTCAGAGCTGTCGGTTCTAGCTTTGACCTCCCGGCCCCCTTCTAGTCACAAGCACAGAACGTATCGGTCCGTTTCCAAGGCTGCACTTTCAGAACGGTGCAGACAGCTGGCACAGCTCCGCTCAGCCCCCTCCTATCTAAGTAGAATTCAAACGAGCGCTCCTTATGTGACACAGTTCTAGAAACCTAACCATTCTACCCACTTCCCTGTAAACCAACTGTTCTGTCAGTGTCGTCTTAAACTGCAGTGCTCACACTGAACTTGCCCACCCAGACAGGTCGGCCTGGGACAGGGCGTCACAGCGGGCGGGGGCCACTGCCGAGCTGGTCCGGAGCGACAGACAGGCAGGCGATCCGCTGACACCCCCACACCTTCAAGGGGACCGGCTCAAATCAAGCCACAACTCCATGATCTTCTTCCGTAACTATTTGAACCTTGAGCACGGATTTGCGTTTCCTAATACTGATTTTCATCAAGCTTTCATTCTATAACCAGCATCTTTGTGAACCCAGGTTCGGTCCCGTCACGTATTAGATGACCTTTTCAGCGTAAATCTGCCTTCTACAGCTTCATCTGAAAGTCGCTGATAAAAAGACTTGGCCCAAGCAAGGCTGCAGAAGTCCCTTTCTGAAGTATGTGGACGGGAGCGGCCCCAGTGAAGGCGCGTCCTGGTCGCCACGTCTCTGCAGAAGTTCCTCAGAGGCGCCCACGCGCGTCAGCCAAGCTCCCGCCCGGCTTCTGAAGCCGCCCACGACGCAGCAGCCGGAAGCACGGTCGGTCCCCAGCGCGTCCTCGGCGATGCCGTCACCGCCCCGGTCCCGTTTCAGCCCATCGGGTGGAATTTCGGCCCCGCCCCCGCGCCGCGCCGGGGCCGCACACCGGGCGCTTTTCCCGAGTCGCAGGCCGTCCCTCCCCCGGCGGACAGACCGGGCTGACCTCGGGCGACGCGCGGGAAGCCGGGGCCTGGCGCCCGGCCCGGCTCGCGGGGGGGCAGGGCTCGCGCCGGTCAGCGCGGCGCTGCGGCCTTCGGGGTCCGGCGTGGACCCCGGGTGGGCGGCGGCGAGGGGGGAGGCGACGCGCCCCGGCCACCCCACCCGCCCGGGAAGGGACGCCGCCCACAG